AAAAAAAAAAAAGAGGGCTGGGAAATAACTGCTGCTACAAATTTTATGCCACTAAGAGCCTCTGATTCAGAAATAACTGCTGCTACAAATTTTATGCCACTAAGAGCCTCTGATTCAGGTCATATTGTAGAGCATGTACTATTCCAGTAACAATTTGCTCACACTCAAGAACGATACACCAAATTGGAAGATGAGGAAAGCAGGTGCCCGCATTGGCCAGAGAGAATCTACTTCCGAAAAGCCTCAAGATGTTTTCCTAACAGTTTGAAAGGAAAACTGCACTTAAGTAATTTGTTGTGGTGGACGTTGAAAGGGAATATTAAATGATGTGAGCTGGATGTTGAAAATCAATTTTAACTGATATCTCTAATGCCTACCAGAGTACCAAATATATACTGAGTGTTCACCAAATACTTTTGACAAAAATTGATTAATGAATGAAGAGCAACCTCTGGAGTTCCTGGTTGGTACAAATAATTAACATATTTGACTGTTAACTGAAAGGTTCCAGAAGCACTTGGGGAAAGATTTAGTGATCTTCTGCCAAAAAATCAGTCATTGGTAAACTCTATGGAGCACAGTCCTACTCTGACACACATGAGGTCACCTTGAGTCACGTCCACTGGTTTTGGTTAGTAATCCTCTGCCCTGTGTAAACCCCACTAATGAGTCTAGTGGAGCTGTGGGTTAATGTGCTGGACTGCAAAGTCAGTTTGAAGCACAAGATTGGTGGTTCAAGCTCACCAGTCACTCCTCAGAAACCCTATATAGGGTCGCTATGGGTCAGAACCAACTCTATAGCACTTAACAACAACAAGTCTAGTAATAGAGATCCAATATCAATCTTAAACAAATTTTTCCAACCATAACAGAAAAGACTAACTGATAAAATGTGTTAACTTAGCTCAGTTAAACTAGGAAACCAAAATAACAATCAGAAAATATTTTGTTAATATATTATCATTCTATTTTCCCTAAGGGAAGAAAAAATTACTCCTCCTGAGTCATGAGACTTAGGTGATATTTGAGGAAGCAAAGTTAGTGGCTAAAGGTAAATGGTGGTGGTAGTTCTGACTCATAACAACCCTGTGTAGGGTTTCCAAAGAGCTGCTGGTGGGTTTGAGCAGTCCAGTGTTTATCCTATTGAACCATATCAATTACATTATGGTGCTGGTGGTTGTATGCTATCAAGTTGGTTCCAACTCACAGCCACCCTGTATAGGTTTCCAAACTGTAAATCTTTACGGGAACAGAAAGCCTCATCTTTCTCCTGCTAAG